GGCATAAACAGACTAGAGGATCCTGAGAATCAAATCAATGATTTGAAATACGAGAAAGCAAAAAACACCCAAGCAGAAGAGCAAAAAGAAAAAAGAATCCAAAAATATGAAGATAGTGTAAGGAGCCTCTGGGACAACTTCAAGCGTACCAACATCCAAATGATGGGGGTGCCAGAAGAAGAGAGCAAGATATTGAAAACCTATTTGAAGAAATAATGACAGAAAACTTCCCCTACCTGGTGAAAGAAATAGACTTACAAGCCCAGGAAGCGCAGAGAACACCAAACAAAAGGAATCCAAAGAGGACCATACCAAGACACATCATAATTAAAATGCCAAGAGCAAAAGACAAAGAGAGAATCTTAAAAGCAGCAAGAGAAAGACAGTCAGTTATCCACAAGGGAGTACCCATACAACTGTCAGCTGATTTCTCAACAGAAACTATGCAGGCCAGAAGGGAGTGGCAAGAAATATTCAAAGTGATGAATAGCAAGAACCTAAAACCAAGATTACTTTACCCAGCAAAGCTCATTCAGGATTGAAGGTCAGAAAAGAGCTTCACTGATAAGAAAAAGCTAAAGGAGTTCATCACCACCAAACCAGGATTATATGAAATGCTGAAAGGTATCCTTTAAGAAGAAGAAGAAAAAGGTAAAGATACAAATTATGAACAACAAATACACATCTATCAACAAGTGAATCTAAAAATCAAGTGAATAAATAATCTGATGAACAGAATAAACTGGTGAATATAATAGAATCAGGGGCATAGAAAGGGAGTGGACTGACTATTCTCAGGGGTGGGGAAAGGAGTGTGGGGGGTGTGGGAAGTGACTGGACAAAAATCGTACACCTATGGATGATAGTGGGAGGGGGTAAGGACGGGGGCGGGGGGACCCGGTGGAGGGGAGCTATCAGGGGGAAAAAAGAGGAACGACTGTAATAATCTGAACAATAAAGATTTAATTAAAAAAAAAAGTAGTAACAATGAAACTTGTGGAGGTTAGAGAATTTAAATACACACCCAAATATTTGAGTTTTCTGCATCATGCTTATTTGATTAGAAGAATAAAATACACATAATAAAATTCTGCATTTGTACTGAAGAATGGTACATGAAATAACCATAGACAAATTAATAACCCTTTTAATTTGGGTTGTTTCTGCAGATGCTGTCAAAAACACCATCTAAATGAAGGTCTATAAAACTTCTTCAGACCTAACGTCAGACAACCAAGAAAATGGTATTCATGCCGAAACTGGTTTGGCTCAGTGGACAGGGCATCAGCCTGCGGACTGAAAGGTCCCAGGTTCGATTCCGGTCAAGGGCATGTACCTAGGTTGCAGGCACATCCCCAGTAGGGGGTGTGCAGGAGGCAGCTGATCGATGTTTCTCTCTCATCAATGTTTCTAACTCTCTATCTCTCTCCCTTCCTCTCTGTAAAAAATCAATAAAATATATTTTAAAAAAGGAAAAAAAAGAAAATGGTATTCATAACCAATGTAAGGCGTTTAATTAACTTGGTTTGCTTTTCAGCTGCTGGTATTGTATTTACTCTGTTCTCCTTGCATTTCACTCATCTATACTTTCCTGTTTCATATTCTGAATCCTTATAAACTTCCTCAATGTACTAAAGAAACAAAATTGGGAATAAACAACTCACCTGGGACTTGTTCATTTTCTGTAGCTTTTAGGTAAAGGCACAGATATGAAGGCAGACCTGGAATAAAGCAAAAAGGAAGGTATTGTTATTAAAGATATGAACTGCTTCAGAACTCCAAGAAATCCCTGCACATCACCTGGGAAAACACCACCTCCTGGCATAGTCACTTTGCCTCTTCAAAAGGGGCAGAAAGGCCCGACTGGTGTGGTTCAGTGGTTGCACATCCACTTATGAACCAGGAAGTCACAGTTAGATTCCAGTCAGGGCACATACCCAGGTTGAGGGAGGCAGCCGATGAATGATTCTCTCTCAACGTTGATGTTTCTCTCCTCTCTCTCTCTCTCTCTCTCTCTCTCTCCTTCCCCCCCCCGCCTTCCACTCTGAAATCAATACAAATATATATATTTAAAAAACCCAAAAAGGGGTAGAAAGGATCATACTGGGAGCATTCACCTCCAATCACACATTATGACACACCTGTAAAGGCATGAGAAAAACACCCACTATCAAGAGAAAAATTAATCAACAGAAACCTCAACTAATAAAAATAGACAGGGAAGCTGGACTTGTGAGGGTCCCAGAGCGGGCATTCCGGGTCCCAGCCACGCGATTTCTGATCAGGATTGTTACAATGAGTCTACGGAAGCAAACTCCCAGCGACTTCTTAAAGCAAATCATTGGACGACCAGTGGTGGTAAAACTAAATTCTGGAGTGGATTATCGAGGGGTCCTGGCTTGTCTGGATGGCTACATGAATATAGCCTTGGAGCAGACAGAAGAATATGTAAATGGACAGCTGAAGAATAAGTATGGGGATGCATTTATCCGAGGAAACAACGTGTTATACATAAGCACACAGAAGAGAAGGATGTGAAGGCATCAAGCGTGCAGCACTCTTCAGACCTGGATATATATAATTGGTGATTTTTCACTGACATGTGAGTAAGATAAATGTATAAAGTTGTGGATTTAATTGTAAAGAATTCTTTCATATTTAAGTTTCAGTCATTTTTTTTTACCTCTGTGTCTGCGGGATGCAAAAAGAATAAAAAAAAGAAAAAGACAAAAAAAATAGACAGGGAATTTAAAACAAATATAACTCATATATTAAAGGCTTTAATAGGAAAGGTTATCCACAACATGAAAAGAATTTCAGGAGAGACAGAAACTGCAAGAAAGGAATCAGATGAAATGCTAAGGAAGAAAAATAGTAACCAAGTTGAAAGAATACCTTGAACAGGCTCATTATTAAACTGAGGAAATCTTAAGATAAGTTTAAAAAATTACTCAAACTGAAATAAAAAGAGGAAATGGAAGAAAAAAATAAAAGGACATAGTATCCAAGAACTGCGGCACAATATCCAATGACCTAACAAACATGTCATTGGTATCCCAAAAGGAGGGGAAAAAATGGGTCAGAAATATTTAAAGACATTAATTGCCAGGAATTTTCCAAAAATAATGAATATCAAATCACAGATCCAAGAAGCTCAGACAATTTATCCGAACAGGCTACCTCCCCCACCCCCACAAACACACACACACACACACACACACACACACACAAAACAAAGACACATGAGGGCACATCATAGTCAGACCACTGAAAACCAAAGTCAAAGAGGAAGTCTTGAAAGTAGCCAGAGGAAAAATAGGCATACTGTATACAGAGGAAGAAATAATCACAGCCATTTTCATCAGAAAATATACAAGTCAGAAGACAATGTACTGACATCTTTAAAGTGCTTTAAAAGAAAACAAAAAACACCTATCAACCAGATTTGTATACCCAGCAAATATATCTTTCAAAATAAAAAAGAGATAAAATCCTTTTTAAATAAGCAAAAACAGAATTCATTACAATAGACCTGTACTATAAGAAATATTTTATTTAAACAAGTTCTTCAGATAGAAGGAATATGATACCAGACAGAAACCTGGATCTACACAAAGAAATAAAGATCTCCCCGATGGTTAAAAATAAAGATAGCCCTAACCAGTTTGGCTCAGTGAATAGAGTGTCGGCCTGCGGACTGAAGGGTCCCAGGTTCGATTCCGGTCAGGGGCATATGTACTTTGGTTGTGGGCACATCCCCAGTAGAGGGTGTGCAGGAGGCAGCTGATCGATGTTTCTAATTCTCTATACCTCTCCCTTCCTCTCTGTAAAAAATCAATGAAATATTTTTTTAAATAAATAAATAAAGATAAATAATAGCACAAAGAATGAGGTAATGAAATTGCGAGTGTACTATTTTAAGGATCTTACATTACACAGCATTATATTATTTAAAGGTGCACTGTGATTACCACAGAAAAATTTTTTTAAAGCGGTATAAATGATAAGCAGATGGTGAGAAAAAAAATGAAATCATAAAAAGTACTCACAAAGTCCAAAAGCAGTCAGAAAAAGAGGAAAATAGGAGCAAAAACCAGATGGGACAAGTAGAAAAAAACTAGCATAATGGCTGATTTTAATCCAGCCACATACATCAACAACTGGTATAAACACACCAATTAAATGACAAAGGCTATCAATAAAAAAAGCAATGCCAAATTATGTGCTGTATATAAGCAGACTGTTTTAAATATAAAAACATAACTAGGTAAAAAGTAAAAGGATAAAAAAAAGATATACCTTGCAGACCCAAAGGAAAAAAAGCTATAATGAATATATAAATACCAGACAGAATAAATTTCAGAAAGATTACAAGGGATAAAGAGTGATAGTTCATAATAATAAATGTGTCAAATCACCATTAAGACAGAATAATCCTAAATGTATATGTATCTAACAGAAGAACTTCAAAACACAAGAAACATGATTAAAAAAAGAAAAAATTGATAAATCCATAATTATAGTTGGAGATGTCAATACTTTTTTCTCAGTGACAGGATAGAAAACCACTAAGGATACAGAAGAACTGAACCACAGTATCAACTACCCTAACCCATTTAGTATTTCTAGAAGACTCCACTGACAGTACAATAATCATTAAAGTACATATGAAGCCCTATCCGGTTTGGCTCAGTGGATAGAGCGTCAGCCTTCGGACTCAAGGGTCCCGGGTTCGATTCTGGTCAAGGGCATGTACCTTGGTTGCGGGCACATCCCCAGTGGGGAGTGTGCAGGAGGCAGCTGATGGATGTTTCTCTCTCATCAATGTTTCTAGCTCTCTATCCCTCTCCCTTCCCCCTCTGTAAAAAATCAATAAAATATATTTTAAAAAACATAAAATAAAAATAAAGTACATATGAAACAGTCACCAAAATAAACCATATTTTTGACCATAAAACAAACCTCAAAGTTTTTTAAAATTAATTTACTGACTGATTTTTAGGGGGTGGACGGCAAAGGAAGGAGAGGGAAAAGAGAGAGAGAGAGAGAGATCCATTTGTTGTTCCATTTATTTATGCATTCGTTGCTCTTGTATGAGCCCTGACTGGAAATCAAACCCCCAATCTTGGCATATATGAGGACGATGCTCTAACCAACTGAGCTCTCCAGCTAGGGCCAACCTCAACAAGTTTTAAAGAATTGAAATTTGACTTAACCAGTGTGGCTCAGTGGATAGAGCACCAGCCTGCGGACTCAAGGGTCCCAGGTTCGATTCCAATCAAGGGCATGTACTTTGGTTGTAGGCACATCCCTAGTAGGGGGTGTGCAGGAGGCAGGTGATCAATGTTTCTCTCTCATTGATGTTTCTAACTATCCCTCTTTCTTCCACTCTGTAAAAAATCAATAAAATATATATTTTTTAAAAAGAATTGAAATTTGAGAGTATATTCTTTAAAAAACAGAATTAAAGTAGAAATCATTAATAGAAAGAGATCTGGAAAATCCCCAAATACTTGGAAATTAAACAACAGACTTCTAAATAACCAATGGATGAAAAAGAAAATCACAAGGGATGTTAAAAAAACACACAGAATTTAATAGAAATGAAAACAGAATATATAAAAATTTGAGAGATGTAGCTACAGCAGTTTTTAGAGGGACAGTTATAGCATTAAACTATTTCCATAAGAAAAGAAAAAAGGTTTCAGTGACCTCAGCTTCCACCTTAAGAAAAAAGAAAAGAAAAAAAAAAGATAAACTTAACCCAAAGCAAGCATAAGGAAGGAAATAATAAAGGTAAGAGCAGAAATCAATGACACTGAAAACAGAAAAATAGGGAAATTCAATGAAACCAAAAGCTGGTTATTTAAAAATATCACATCACTGCCCAAGCCAATTTGGCTCAGTGGATAGAGCACCGGCCTGAGGACTGAAGGGTCCCATGTTCAATTCTGGTCAAGGGCACATGCCTGGGTTGCGGGCTGGATCCCCAGTGGGGCGAGTGCAGAAGGTAGCCAATCAGTGATTCTCTCTCATCATTGATGTTTCTATCTCTCATTCCTTCTCCCTTCCTCTCTGAAATCAATAAAAATATATTTAAAGAAATATTTTTTAACTAAAAGGAGTTTCTAAAAGGCAGTCATGTTCTCTAGGCTAGAATCTTCCCTGACCAAAGTCAATCTTTACCTTAATTAAACCTGTCTATTGTCTTTTTGCATCTACCATAACATACCTTTGGAATGTCAGGGTAAACCCCCTTTTACTTTTTCTTTTTAAAAAATATATTCTTTTATTGATTTCAGAGAGGAAGGGAGAGGGGAGAGAGAGATAGAAATATCAATGATGAGAGAGAATCATTGATTGGCTGCCTTGGCACACCCTCTACCGGGGATCCAGCCAGCAACCCGGGCAAATTGAACCTGGGACCCCTCAGTCTGCAGGCCGATGCTCTATCCGCTGAGCCAAACCAGCGAGGGCTTTTTTTTTTTATACCTCCCTTTTTCCAGACTCATTAGGGCACAATCAATGCACCAAGGCAGAGACCAAAAATCCTCTCATTGTTATTGTTATCATGTTAATTTTGACTGTTTACTATCCTATACCCACTTATGTAAAAGATGTGTTTATTATTTTACTTTTTATCCAATCCCAGTATAAAATAAGATGCAAAACTGCCATTCTCTGGAGCATTTTCTCAGTCTGTTGAGATTTTGCTTCCTGGCAATTATCGACAGCTTGGCTCAAATAAAATAAACTCACAAAAATTCTCTACAGGTTTGAACGTTTCTTATGTGGATAAAACAGATAACCACACTAATGAAGTAAAAAAAGGGACAAATCTCAAATACACAAACTTAAAAAATGGGAAATAGCAAATACAAGACAAAAAAGATAAATGGAAAAATTCCATCTTTAATGGCATTGAAATACTACATAAGAGTAAAGTTAAGAAAAACGCAATTATTTTCTAAAAACTTTAAAATACTGCTGGGGGTAGGGGTTAAAAATAAAAGAGAACTTGAACAAATGGGTCTACACTAGTAAGACCCAACACATAAAGGTGTACATTCCCCCTAATTTAATGTAACGATTACCAGGATCCCAATAAAAGTATCAGCAATTTGGGGGGGAAAAACCACCAGGAGAGAAACCAAGATGGCGGCATAGGTAAAGACCAGAGATTGCTGCCTCGCACAACCACTTCAAAAATACAACTAAAAGATGGAACAGACATCATCCAGAACCACAGGAGGCTGGCTGAGTGGAAATTCTACAACTAGAAGGAAAGAGAAAAGCATACCGATACTCAGAGGAGGTGTGGTGTTGGAAGTAAAGTACAGAGGTATGGAGGCGCATGTAGAGAGGGCTGGCGGCTGAGGAAACGGTTGTCTTTTTCAATAGGGAGGGAGGCACAAGCTCCCGACGGCCCCGATTCCAGTTCTGGGAAGTCTCTGGGGACCCAGACTCATACGGAGAGAAACTGGACTGTCTGGCAGCAGGCAGAACTCTGAACTTGAGGGTGGCTTTCCCTCAGAGGTGCTTGCAGCAATTAGCGGGACACTGAGACGCGTGGCCCCTTAGGGCAGGGCTGAGAATCCGCCATAGCTGCTTGCTCCGCCCTTTAATTCCCTGAGACCCCGCCCCACCCAGGCTGCGGCAGAGGCTTTTGCATATGAATGCCCTGGCCTTCTGCAACCTGAAAATTACCTAACAAAGGGCAACTGGGCCACAGACTCAGAACTTCCAAGAGAAGGCCCAAGGCCCCACAGCAGCTTGCATTGCTTCACAGCTGGGCCTCATCAGGGCACCTCCAAACTCCAAAAAAGGAAGGGGAATCTCTAGTCCTCTTCATAGCTCTGGC